AATATATGTACATATTTGAAGTTTCAAACACTTATTCCGTATTCCGATACCCACCGGCAACACAGCTTAATTTTAAAGCTATCAAATGGTAAAAAAATTCTTCAATTTTTTCCTCAAAACCATCTGATATATAGTTTTGTTCTAAACATCAAAACGTTTGTTCTAATACTCAGATAATTCGAGTTTATTTTTAATCATTTACGACATCCAATTAGTTTAGTTGCTTTTGAAATTGGCGCATAGCTACTCGCGGGCTATCTGCGCTAGCCGTCTCTAATTTAGCAGTGAAAGGCACCCCCCTTCCCCACCGCCAACTCTTGGGCTACTCTTTTACCAACGAATAGTGGGATTGACCGTCACATTATAACGCCCCCACGTCTGAAAGGGCGAGGCATTGGATTACCCTTCGGTTTTCCTTTGTGAGAATACATTTTTCTCATGTTCAAGATGTTCATTTGAACACTACATACATCTAGACCAAGTCTTAAGTTTGAAGAAGTTTCTGAACACAAAAATACGTGTGGATTTTGAAAGATAAAAAACAACAACAACAATTTCTTACTTTTAGCAGCCTGACCACTTTCTTCTCAGATGATGATAAACATACGGGCCCCCCCCCCCCAATGATGTGACATTAATTATGCACCAAACTACTGAGAGGCCCATTATTTGGTTTCCCTCGCATGTTATCATGAATAAAGTTAGTTTTCTGCATTATAAAAAACACAGTCGTGCATCTATATATATATATATATATTGAACTAATTGTTCATATATATATATTGAACTAATTGTTTACATTTTTACGCGTAAAAAAATATTGCCGTCTATTGCCGATTTTTAACGAAATAACGACAAAATGTGTTAAATAAGTTAAATGTGTTAAATAAGTCATCACATATCATATCATTCCTTCTTTTTACTGCTAAATAATGCAATCAATTCATTCACATAGAATGTATTTGAGCCTATTACAGCCACGGTAATATGAATAATGACAATAATATAAATAAATATATTTTACTCATATTCCTTAATTTTAGCCGTTTTTATATGGTAAAGTACCAATAGAATATTACGGCTGTAGTTTTAATTTCATTCCTTAATTTTAGCCGTTTTTATATGGTAAAGTGCCAATAGAATATTACGGCTGTAGTTTTCATTTTATTTCTTAATTTTAGCCGTTTTTATATGGTAAAGTGCCAATAGAATATTACGGCTGTAGTTTTAATTTCATTCCTTAATTTTAGCCGTTTTTATATGGTAAAGTACCAATAGAATATTACGGCTGTAGTTTTAATTTCATTCCTTAATTTTAGCCGTTTTTATATGGTAAAGTGCCAATAGAATATTACGGCTGTAGTTTTCATTTTATTTCTTAATTTTAGCCGTTTTTATATGGTAAAGTGCCAATAGAATATTACGGCTGTAGTTTTCATTTTATTCCTTAATTTTAGCCGTTTTTATACGGTAAAGTGCCAATAGAATATTACGGCTGTAGTTTTCATTTCATTCCTTAATTTTAGCCGTTTTTATATGGTAAAGTGCCAATAGAATATTACGGCTGTAGTTTCATTTCTCCACAAAATGTGCGAAATATGTTTTTTAAAATAACATTTTCATTACTTGTAAGTAGAGGTGATACGTAAGCTATTTATATAGAAATATATGTAAATTTATTAAGTACTGAAATGAACCATCCGTTAAAGATTAAGAATTTTTATTATTCCGAATTTCGAGAAAAAATGACAAAATGTTGTTTATCTAACCATAAATTTTGTAACTGTCGTAAAGGCTCATTGTTCAACAACTGGTTTGGTTTTATTAAAACACGTCACACCATCACTGAACAGTGCTTTTAAAGATATTTTTAGGTTTCATTGAAATAAGTCAAATTGAACAGTACTTTTAAAACTATTTTTAGGTTTCATTAAAATAAGTCAAACTGAACAGTACTTTTAAAACTATTCTTAGGTTTCATTAAAATAAGTCAAATTGAACAGTACTTTTAAAGCTATTTTTATGTTTCATTAAAATAAGTCAAATTGAAAAGTACTTTTAAAGATATTTTTAGGTTTCATTAAAATAAGTCAAATTGAAAAGTACTTTTAAAGCTATTTTTAGGTTTCATTAAAATAAGTCAAATTGAACAGGACTTTTAAAGCTATTTCTAGCTTTCTTAAAATAAGTCACACCATCACTGAACAGTACTTTTAAATATATTTTTAGGTTTCAATAAAATAAGTCACACCATCACTGAACAGTACTTTTAAAGATATTTTTAGGTTTCAATAAAATAAGTCAAATTGAACAGGACTTTTAAAGCTATTTTTAGGTTTCAATAAAATAAGTCAAATCACTGAACAGTACTTTTAAAGATATTTTTAGGTTTCAATAAAATAAGTCAAATCATTGAACAGTACTTTTAAAGTCATCTTTAGTTATATTTATTAAATGTAAAGTATTTAAAAACGTATTTATTAAATACATTATTCATAAAATTAAAGATAAATCAATTTCCAGAAAAGTATGAAGTCTAAATAATCCATGTGGTTTGTCAGAAAAGAATGGATGGGTGAATTTAGTGTTCATCATAGTTAAACTTAGTGTAAGAAACATTGGAAATGGCCTAACGTTGTTGTTACAATCACGATGTTTGGTGATCAATTTCCAGAAAAGTATGAAGTCTAAATAATCCATGTGGTTTGTCAGAAAAGAATGGATGGGTGAATTTAGTGTTTATCATAGTTAAACTTAGTGTAAGAAACATTGAAAATGGCCTAACGTTGTTGTGACAATCACGATGTTTGGTGATCAATTTCCAGAAAAGTATGACGTCTAAATAACCCATGTGGTTTGTCAGAAAAGATTGGATGGGTGGGGAAATTGATCACCAAACATCGTGATTGTCACAACAACGTTAGGCCATTTTCAATGTTTCTTACACTAAGTTTAACTATGATAAACACTAAAATCTGATTAAACAGTGAAGTAATACACTTTATAATGCACGTCGTTGTGACAGAAATAAGACCACTTAATAACTATTATTGTATTTTTTATGAGTTATATATATTTATCCTAAAAAACAACTAAATTTTGACCGAAATTTAAATATGTCGGTGTCATAAGTTGGCACACTAGAGAAAAATTAGCCAGACTGCTAAAGCTCAGAAAACTCCTTTTTTTTAAGTCTGCATTTAATTCTGAGTCAAAAAGTATCTTCAAACCTTTAGGTCTCTGGCACACGAATAAAACCACACCTAACTCTCGGACTAATGAAATATTTTTACGGTATATTCGTTTTTAATAATGAAATTCGTTAATTCCGTCTATCCCACATTTTATAAATAACTTTCTTAGACTCTGCTTTGTGCTTAAGGTCTAATTAGTGCTAATTTTGGTTTTGAAGATTAAATGCGACGCATTAGAGAAACACAACAACAACAACAACAAAAAATAACACACACATCAAAACGACACGAAACAATGCCAAATAAATAACCGTCGGAAAAAAAATAACTAAAAAAAAGCTAGACAAACTAACATTTACTTTTTTCCTAGAATATAAGTACAACACCCTAAAGCTAAATTGTCCATAGAAAACCAACGACTAAGTCTTAATGGTTCTCATAAAATCGTGTGTGACAACAGTCATATTCGTGATCCTTCTCATAATCGTTTTCACCAGACAATCGTCATCGTTAGTTTACCTGTGATGAACAGTTACAGTTACAGGATCTGTATACGGTACTTAGGTTCAGGCCTAACTCCGGTTATTAAGCTCAAAGTGTACGAACATACAAACTTTTCGTGTAAGCACAATAATGCACATTTCGAAAGTTTATTATTATCAATTTACTTTTGAGGAATGAATGCATTCTTACCCTGAATTTTGATGGGCTCAATAATTGGTGTTTGAATGTTTGAAGAACATGTACGACCTACTGATAGGTTAAATATAAAGATGCTTTACTTACTGTAATCAAGAGTCCCTGCGTGATCACTGCTTTACTTACTGTAATCAAGAGTCCCTGCGTGATCACTGCTTTACTTACTGTAATCAAGAGTCCTTGCGTGATCACGTTGCAACTGTCCAGTATTTTGTCGTGAATTAAGAGGAGAATAGTGGTTAGTTTTAATGTGATGAAGTGAACATGCTTGAGTTACCCTGCGAATAAGGATAACTATTTCATGTTACATTGCAAAAACACATGCATTAAAGCTAGGTATTCCTTCAATAATAATACATCAACGAAATAAGTAAATCATATACTAGTTAATTTTCAAGATTCATAACAATTTTAACATATTTTAACGAATCCCAAAAACATCAAATGTTTAGTATTGTGAGTATCAATATCACTGGAAAATGAGTGTCAAACGGTTGAGGATTTTATGCTGTGATATTTGAAGCGACCAATGCAAAGAGATTAAAAGCAAATTAAAAACTTTTAAACACTGATTTAACAAAGGGATGTATAGTTTACCAAATAAATTAATTAAATAATTTTGCATTTGATTCGTAGTTTTGTTACGAAATTGTAAAGAATTCTTAATTTAACTAAATAATTCGGTTTAATGATTTAATCACGATTTAAGTCTTATCATACTTTGTTTCTTTGGGTTTTCTTATGTATTAGTTAGTTTTTAAGTTCAACTTGGTCTTAAAAGATGTTTAGCTACAATTTCAGAAAAAAATAAATACAGAGCTGAATATTTTCTAAAAAAAGAAATACAGAGCTGAGTATTTTCTGAAAAAAGAAATACAGATCCGAGTATTTTCTAAAAAAAAAAGAAATACAGAGCCGAGTAGTTTCTAAAAAAGAAATACAGATCCGAGTATTTTCTTAAAAAAAATACTGAGCTGAGTATTTTCTAAAAAAAAAGAAATACCGAGCTGAGTATTTTCTAAAAAAAAGAAATACCGAGCTGAGTATTTTCTAAAAAAAAGAAATACAGATCCGAGTATTTTCTAAAAAAAGAAATTCAGATCCGAGTATTTTCTAAACAAAAGAAGAAACTTTCAATTACCGTTTTTTTCATTTCTTTTTAAATACAATGAACTCTCTTACCAATAATTCAAAACATTCAACACCTTATGGTTAATTTCTATTAGAAAACTATACGTGTTATTTTGATTTAAATGTTTTTATGTGAACTGTCATGATTAATGTTATACAAAGAATAAAATAAACTAATAAAATTTGTACGGTGTAAAACAAATACGAACATAAAATACGGGAGATATAGAAAGTTTTTAGATAATAAATGTTTTGTTGGATAATAGCAACCGAGAGTCTCAGCGTTTCCAAAAGCTGGCCCATTTTAAGCATCTATCAAATAAAAATATTATATCATGATCTTAGAAGCTCTAAGAGAAAATCTCTCAAAACCTTGCGCAATAGCAACATTTTTCACACGATACCACGTGCATCTGCTAATACTTAGAACATAATACTTTTCAACAAGTACAACGATAACTTCCTGCTGTAACTTGCTCGGCTTCAGTTATGTGCCCTTTGTCCCACTGCTGTCTTTCTATTTCATCGAATTTACTGGCCTAGGGGTGGGGTGGGAGAGTATAAAGAAAACACAATATCGTTAATAATTATGCTATATTCATTCATCTGTCTGTCCTTCTTACTATCTATCTATCTAACCGAAAAAAAAAAGACTCGAGTCAACTGTGTTGGCTATGTTTTACACATCTGTTGCATAATATCATTAATACGGAAATACCCTATCGGTATTATAAATATATCATATTGTTATCACAAACAATACATATATATGTACATAGAAATTAGATATAATGTTAATTTATTATCACACACAATATATATAGAAACTGGATATTATACCATATTGTTATCACACACAATAAATATATAGAAACTGGATATTATACCAAATTGTTATCACACACAATATATATAGAAACTGGATATTATACCAAATTGTTATCACACACAATATATATAGAAACTGGATATTATACAATATTGTTATCACACACACAATTTATTTATAGAAATTTGATATAACATTAAATTCTGATCACACCATTTTTTTAAAACAAAAAGCCTAATCTTCTGTACAAGCGAGATGTTTTACATGTTACAGTTATCAGGAGGGTGTAATTGGGGTTCAGACCTCCAAATTCGGTACTATAATAAAGTAAAGCTTTCTCTGCCCTCATTTTTGGAACAAAAAGTACAAAAAACTTTTACTGACGATATACAATAAAAATAGTTTTTATTGTTTTAACAATTAAATATAGACAATTATAAAACATCAAAATTTGAAAAGAACGACATTTAAACAAGGCATACAAGTTTTTCGAAATGATTATTATTTATTTGTTTAAAAGGAATAGTTAGAAAAAAGTTTTTAAGTTTATAACATCGTGGACAGAATTGTATTTTACACTGACTTGTAAATTTTAGATTAGTTGTTTCTTTATGTATTTAAAAAAAACAGATCTACAAGGTACGTACTGGAGAAGTTCTGTTTTAAATTGTTTTTGAAGTTTTGAAACTTAGAAATTCTTCCTGAAAGTTAGACATTTGCATTTTAATTATTATTTGTTTAAACGACACATCAGTAAATAGCAATCATGCGCCATTATCACTAATGGACCTTCCTAGATATTATATTCTAAGAACCTTATGTAACAAATAACAATGTAAAAATATGTCAACCACACTACATCTGCTATATCCAATACCGACGAGGTCTTTTACTCAATACCAGGGCTCATCAGGCCAGCTCGGATACGACAAACATAGTAGTGTCTTTAATTATTATTATTTTTTAAATGTAATTTCATTTTAGCCTGGAGATGTGGGTGTTGCTGACAGGCCCTCAGGGGGGTTACGCTCTTTAGTAGTGTACGAGACACTATCTATATCATCAATTTCACGAACAACTGTTGAGGTGTGAACTAGATTAATTGCTTCAATTTTATTCGAGTTATTTACAAATCAGAATTACAGTACCAATCAATAAGACGTTATTATTATTACTATTTTTAACCTCGATTATCTATTATTATCATTATTTTAATTAAATTCACTATCATTAAACTTGTGGATGACGATAGAAGGAAATATAGCAGAGATGCTGCGAGAGATAAGCCTCTGAGATGAAGGATTGGCCCCGAATGGACTGTTACTAAGGCGCCATCTATTAAATGCATGTTTAATTTTGATATTTAAGTGTATTTAATTTCTAGTCAACTAAGTATACCATAATTTTCTATTATTAGGGGTTAAATGAAAATATTTGTCAAGGTAAAGAGAAAACAAAGCTATTGTATTTGTCAGTTTGATTTATTTCTAGTAATTGTGTTTTCTATTATCGTGCACAAAGTTCATGTTGCAGGATAAGTATTGATAAATATATGATTTATCGCGTTGAGAACAAAATGCTAGAAAAATTGGTATATTGAACATGTATGGAATATACCTTTAAATATTCATGGTTTAATGTAACGTTATGGGATTCAGATTGCCTAAGAACTAATAGATATGTCATGAGCTTGAATAACTACGTGAATATTTACGATCTTGACCATTAGACGAGTCATAGGAAGAAAACAAAGTTTCTTGCTATAGTGCAGCTTCTGTTAAACTGACATTAACCGAGTTGTTATATGTTAACAGAACAGAATTTAAATAAAATCTTGTATTTTAACAAAAACACAGTCTATAAAGGCTCTTATTGTGATTCAAAAAAGAAGGATCGTTATGAAATTTTCTCATGCCTTTTATGACAGAAACACTAATTTAAGTGAAACTTTTAAATATCTCACCCTTCGCTCCCTTTCTTGCCGAACTAGTCTTGCTAACGCTAAGAAAGTCTCCTGAATATTGATGTTATGCTTACAACTGCATTCGAAAAACGGAATGCTGAAGCTGTCCGCTATCTGTAATGTAATATAAAAGAATTCTCAGAACTATTTTCTAAATGTAACAAGAATTGTAGGAGGCTTCAGCTAAAGAGATTTTAATGGAAACATTACAGATTACTGTAAGATTTTCATACGGTTAAACATCGTTTCGGGCACGGTTTTATAACTGCCTAAGTGGCAGGGCGTGAATTATTTGTTAACGTGCTCAGACTGTGTTTGTTTGTTTGTAGTTAAGCACAAAGCTACATAAGGGGCTATCTGTGCTCTGCCCACCACGGGTATCGAAACCCGATTTCTAGCGTTGTAAGACCGCAGACATACCGCTGTGCCACTGGAGAGGCTCAGACTTTTAGCGTCGTAAGCCTGAAGACTTACTGCTGAGCCACTGGGGGGGGCTACATTGTTAGCTCAGTGAGGAGATATATGGTATATTTTCCTAAACTAGCAAACCCTAGGGAGATACTTTTGGGATTAAAGAAGGATCGTTATGAAATTTTCTCATGCCTAACTAGTCCTTTTATGCAAACTTAATACTAATACTGAGTAATTGTGTATAATTTATGCCTTAAATCTCACATATATTGCGAACCGTTGTGTCTGTCTGAGCTTTTGAAATGACGGGAGAACAGGCGGGAATAATGTTGATGGCAGAACATTCTACATTAAATTGATAGAAATTAATCACACTATCATTCACATTTCAAAATGTGACGTAACTTAGATAATAAAAGTGTAGATTTACCGTATGTTATTGTTGAGCATGACTGAAATGCACAACAATTACTTTTCGCGTTATAAGTAGCTCGGAGCTTTGTCTCTGAGTGAAACCAAGAGAGCAACAGAATTAACCTTTGAAATTAAAGTCCATGAA